AACAAATATTTGTTTGCTGTGTAACAGTATCAAAACATTAATGTGGCCATATCATCGTTACACAAAAAAAACAGCTCGTTATAACCGATTAATAAACAATTAATTAGGTATAAAGCTTCATAACAGAATTTCTTTGAGGCAGTTTTTATAAAACCGAACGAAATTCTTAAAGTATCCGATAAACTAATAATAAAGAATTCGGCATTCCTTTACAGAAAGGACTTCTCGGAAATGGCAGCGTGCGAAATTTTTTACCTGTCTAGCGAGCTGACCGACCTCATTTCGGTCTTGACTAAAATAGCTTAAAATAACATAAATTAAAAGGTGTACGTATAAAATAATTATTTTATAAAAACACGTCAATAATTTGGTTTATTTTAAATAATTAAGTAAATTGAATTACAATTTAATATTAATATTAAGGTTATCTTTTGTTTTTGTAATGAGCGGAGTTCCCCGAGGATCGGTTTCACATATTAAATTTCTTGATATAACATTTTATACATGGTAAAAAATACCGGTATTGGGTTTTTAACAGTTTAATAATAAAAATAATAATAAACTAATATCATAAGACGTCATTTTCTGGAACGAGGACAAGCTTACAAAAGGAGCGACGAAGGAGCATTCATTCATTCAATAAGACTTGATAATACAGCTTTAGATTTATATGAATTGTATTATTTGTTTTAGTTTTATCGTAACAATTGCATAAAATCATAAAATTATGACGTCACTCGGGATCGAACTTAAGTCCCGCCTCGGGACGCTAGACAGCGTTTTTTTATTGTTTTAGTTATTTAAGTTTGAGTTCATAATATTTAGCAATTATTCAAATTACAAAATAACAACAGGTAATAAAAAATATATGTTTTTATTGTAACAATTTTGTTTTCAAGGTCTGTTGAAATTCATGAATATGCAGTGAAAAAACCTATTTATCGTCTATTTTCAAAAGCAGTTAGTTTTAATTGAGTTGTAGTCTCAATTAGGATTTTTTTAAGTTACAATTATCTTTTAAAGCTATTAAAATCGTTGTATCAATATCGGCTGCATTGAAAACAAATTTATTTTAATTACCATTTAAATTCAATTAAACTGTTTTGGTGCAACTCACAAATACGTTTGGTGAAAAATTAGATGAATAATTACAAATATTTTTACTTTGTTTTTAATAAATTTTATGGACAAATTTTCTTATTCACCAGTATCAAATTTCGTCCTTTTATTTTAAAAACGAGACAATTGTTGACACTTTAAAGATATCATTATGAAATTTTTACATCACATATCACATTTTGTGATATCAATCTTATTTCTGTACAAATTTTAACCCAAGTGGCTCAGTGGCGGCGATTTAATAAGGATTTAAATATAAAAATCTTGTTAAAGTAGATATAGAATTCCAATATTCCTTGTATACAAAAATTAATTGAATTGAATTAGTAGCGGCGAAAATATACTGGTTTAACCTATAGGTATACCATTAGCGCAAGCGTCAATTAATTAACTTTTTTTATATAAATTTTTACAATTAAAGTATATACAGGGCCGGAGCAACCTACAGGCAAACTAGGCAAAAACCTAGGGCGGCAAAGTCAGGGGCGGCAACAATCATTTGTGTTAAAATATAAAAATAAATAAAAATTGGTTGCGACCAAGCTACAAGTTTGAATTTAAGTTATGACACTTTTTATTTAATTTACACGGAAGTTATGTATACATATATGTGTATATAAAGATTCTTTATTAAAGAAATTTGTAATAGGTAAGTAATATAGTAATTCTTAAGTTTCAAGCATCTTTATTTATTTATTTAAATTAACTGATATTTCCGGAACTAAAAAACTTTTATTATATTTTTTGTCCTAAAATATATTTCACTAAGATTATGCAGTTTATGGGAATCGCTTAAGATTTCATCTAAACTGTATACACTACATTAAAACATTAAAAACTCGGCTTATCTTAAATAATTCAAACTTGTTAGTCAAAACAGGTTGTTTTGCCCAAAACAGCGTTTATTTATTTTAAGTGTATTCGCGAAAACAAAATATAGTTCTTATTTATTTATATATTTATCTTATTTATTTGTATACATAAAAACAGTTTTAAAAGTAGTACTATAATAACATGCAAAAAAATACCAGAAAGTTGAACAAATGATTGCTGAAACCAAACTTTTATACCTACATTACATTGTATAGAAACCACTCAAAATTTCACTCACATTCATGTCCCTTATTTTTAACATTAAACATAGATTATTGTTTTTTTAATGTTCCTTCTTTTACATAATATTGCTTAAAACGATGTGGAACGACTTTGTACTTCATACTTGTCATTCATAATGTTATATTTTTTGTTTTTATCCTTAATGATTAAAATCTTTTTAATAGCAAAATTGTTGGTTCTGAAAACAAGATAATATATGTAAAACATGCTCGAACTTTTTCGAGGAAGTACCAAAATATCGTAACGAAATAAATGTGGAGGTTAATTATGGAAATGTTTGATTTCTATGTATCAGTAACAAATTACAAATTACAAAATAACAACAGGCAATGACAAAATTTGTATATATATATATATATATATATATATATTTGTATATATATTTGTATATATTATATATATATTTGTATATATATTTAATATATGTTTTTATTGTAACAAATTTGTTTTCAAGGTCTTTTGGAATTCATATGCAGTGAAAAACCCTATTTTAAAAAGCAGTTTGTTATAGGCTAAGTGGCTAATGTATATTTTCTGTTTTAAAAATCTTTTTAACAGGAAAAATGTTGGTTCTTAAAACAAGATAAAATATGTTAAACATTTGCCAGAACTTTTTCGAGGAACTACCAAATCTTATCAAAATAAATGTGAAGGTTAATTATGGAAATGTTTGATTTCCATGTAACACTATCAAATTATAAAAACTAAATATACAGATATACATGTATGCATATATAGTGTTTCCCACCGAAAACTGTGAATGACCTATAGGTCATTCACAATTTTCGGTGGACACAGTGTATACATATCTTTAAAATGATAATCGATAAATAAAATTTGAAAAACCCGTTTTAAGGGAGTTTTAAGTATTACGTAACGCAATTTTTGGAGATTTTGGAGTGTTCCAGATTTTAGTCACTTCCACGTATCTAATAAGGTAAGCTCATTTGATCGAACAGAATTTTCTAACTGATTAAATGGTAACACAAAAACGTGAATTAAAAACATAAAAAATAGGGTTTAAACGCGACAACATTGCAAGTTGTAACAACAACAACTTAGTTGTTGATAGATGGTTTATATATGCAGTGATATTTAAAATTTAAATATGAGTTGTAAAAACGAATGACGTTTACTACAAAGAAAAAATTATCAAAAAAAGGTAAAGTAAGTAAACATGCAGTATGTTAAATGCAGCGAAAGTGTAAAGGGAAGAGCAGAAAACAAAGAAAAGAAAATAGAAGGTAGAAGGATTGTCTAATTATTAAAACAAAAAATTATAATAAATAACTTCATACAACTGTTTTTTTTTATAATTGACCTTAAAACAAAATAAATCAAACCAAATACCTCTAGATAATCACGTGTTCGTAAAGCAGTGTTGCCGGATCTTCCAGAAGAGAATGACAGATTGATAATTTTGGTTGGACACAGTCAACATTATCGTTTATTATTGCAAACCAAGCGGTGAAAGTAAACAATTATTTATATGGCACTTCTACTGTATACAGGCATCACGAGAAATAACATTATTAATTTTTCAACTTCACGTTAAAAGATAGGCATTGATATGCTATACTTATAGGAGATGTATATCTTATAACATTAAGAAATCGATGATTCTTGTTCTAGTATGCACCTGTAGAAGTGGCATATAAATTTTTGTTTAGGTAGGTAGGTACAAAACAGTTTAGCAATAATAAAAGATAATAATAGTCCACGTCTTAGCAACTTTAATGTTTTTTTACTCGAAAACCAGACGGTCAATATTCTAAAACTTTGTAAAGGTCTTTTAAGTAGACTCTACTACAACCTAGAATTTTTTTCAACATTTTCTTATAGCGACTAATATCGTGCCAGAACCTCCTTAAGTGTATTCGTTTATTGGTGTGTCTAATGGTTTTACCTATATTTACATATATTTATATTTATAATGGGGATTTCTTACGAATAAATGTTAGGATTTACCGATACCTATTTATTATTAAAAGTTTGATAACCAACGGGTTTCCCGTACATTAACGACATAAATAATAATACATTTATAATAACTTACATTTTAACAGCTAAAATTCTGCTACAACTAAGAAGAATATAATATAGGTATATTCAATATATAGCTAAAACTATAATCTCTTCTTAAGTAGCTACAACCACGGTCTTATATACATATATACAAGATACACCTTACGTATATAAGACAGTGGCTACAACTGCTAAAATGCCTCAAAACACTTGAAAATTTGACACTGTTAAATGACAGAACTAAAAAGAATCTACAATGCATAGGTTTTTCTATGCTACAATGTAACAAAATCAAATCGCTCGTCAGCGCATCGTTGCCATATCTCTTGGCAATGCAGCCAACCCCTAGCAGAGAACGGCCGTTACTTTGACAGTTCGATATTCGAAAGTAGTGAAAAGCCGGCGTATAGGCCGTTGATGCAGCGGCGGCGCGCTGCAGCGTCTCGAAAATTCAATTTCGTGTTTATTACTACGCGACTGTGTAAGCGATGAATGAACTCGAAGCCCTAGAAGCCGCGCGCGCCGACGCACTCCACTCGAACGGTTCAAGTCGAACCTTGTCTGTCGAAACGATTTCAGTTCTTGCAACATTGTTGCAGCGTAGCTACGCGTGTTGTTTCGTGCAAACGATCGCGCCGATTGAAAAATTTGTTTATGTTTATATGAAACTTGACACACTGCATAAGCCAGGTGCACAGTTTTATTTATTTATTTATTTATTTAATGATTGTAGTGATTGTGTGCGAATGATATAGTGTATAGTGAGTTTTATGGTGTAAAGTGACAGCTTTCAAACTTTTGGCTGTTTTCATAGGAAAATGTACAAGTTTTGTTGTTTTAAGACTTCTTGTTTTATAAGGTGAGCGGAATGAAATTATAATTAACCGTTAATTATCTTGTTTTCGTTTTATAAATTGTAAATAACTTGTTTGTCTGTCGTGAATAATATAAATAGTAAAATCAGAGTTTTTTTAAATTAAATTGATAAAAATGTAGACATTAAAATTGTGATGCACAAATTGTATGCTCTAACGTATATCCATGTTTTATATACTCCAAGTGTCTTTTTTTCGTGAGGGTTTCGAGTTTTAAGACATTTTCAATGTCAAATCAAGTCACCTAGGAATTATAATCGGACAAACAAATGTTAAAATAATCCCGAATTAATTAATTTAATTTTGCAATTTATATTATAAACGATTTATGCAGATTGACTAATTTATAGTTAAACTGAATAAAATTATAGCCCTCCATTAAATAGTTTTGTTTTTTAGATCGAAGTTTATTTTTTTTACATTAATTTTACCCGTTTTTGGTGCTTCGCACGAACTCACCTTATAACATAAATAAATATTAGGCTGAGAAGTATTTTGGCGATAAGCTCAAAGTTTGATTTTTTTGTGCGTAAGCATTTGAGAGATAAAAACATTGTATTTATAAACTTTTGTACCTAATCTTATTAAATAAAATAAAGTAAATAAACTCAGGTGAATTTATTTTGTTCAAAAATTATAAAATAAAACCTTTGACTTATTAAAGGTTTTATTTTATAATAAGTATTATTTATAAAACATTTTTCACGTACCCCAAAATCCTGGTTGTTTTGTATAAATACCCCCTAAATTACTTTACATGATTAATGATTTTTAATGTCAGCGTCGTTATTTTTTAGCTTTAAAAAACTTTTAACACGAAAAGCCATTAAAATGACAATCTGACAAAAATGTTAATTTATAAACGGTGTTATTTTTAAAACTTAAAAAATCGAATCCACAAGTACAGGCGCATTTGATGCTACGCGTCCAAAATAAAAGTTATACTATAATAAAATAAAACAAATGAAAGTTTTGAAGTTGCGCCATTATTTTTTCTTTAATGTGTTTGTTTTTTTATTCTGTCACACAAATTGGAATAAACTTCGGATAACTAATCTGGCCAGTTTTGCAAAATTAAAACAATACAAAAATCAATGTGTAAAAATAGATAAGTAATTAAAACCCGTGTCCTAATCTTTATGACAATAATAAATATCAAAAACGCAATAGTTTTACTATACAAATAGGTACTTAACGTAGTCTAAATATGAGCTATAGTATCTCAAACAAAATAGTTTTTTTATATAATATATACGGTATACCGTATTTTCACTCTTGGTCTATGCAGCTGACGCGAGTAGGAATAGTCATTTCCCAACTTTGTTTACATTTAAGCTAAAAACAGATTAAAAATCAAAATTGCTAAGCCTCTTTAAGAAATTGAAAGGGTGAAATTATGTAGTAATTTAGGTGGAGCACTATTTGAATAGGTTTTTAGTTAAATTAGTTAAAACTGTTAATTGTGATAAAGTAGACTATTTAGGTGCTTTAATTGTACACTGAGAAAAAAATGGGACAAATAAACTGTTTACCTAATACTTTTATTTGTAGTGAATATATTGTTTATTACCTCTAAATAGTCGAAATAATAACGATAAATATACTTTAGTAAAACTTTATATGTCGGGAATAAAAATATATTTAGGATAAATAAACTGTACCCTTGTCCCATATTTAAATATTTTTTTTATTTGGGAGCAATAAACTTTTTTCTCCGTGTAGTATTACTTTTTTCAATGAAAAATAATTTCGTAACCGTTATCGTAATCTTTTGATTCCAGTAGTTTAAAGTACGCAGTATTATTCAAAACTAAAACATTCACAACATCCACTTCAAATGGCAAATTTACAAGACTAGAAAGTTATAAATGCCACTTAAGAAAATAAATTAATTTAATTGTATCATAATTCTTGAGAAACCATGAGGCTGCAGACATACATACATTTATGTTTTGTTTCTTTAATGTGGTACATGGCAAATTTTAGTAAATACAATAAACAAGGATTCATTGAAACAAATATACAATGTTCAAACATTTATAGAAATGGCAAGGCTACATAGGATATATTAAGATTAAATGGAGATTTTTACAAACAAAGAAATGTTATTCAAAAATGAGGTTGTTTTCTTGGCGGGGTTGTCAGATGTACGAGGTGTGTTCAGAAAATAACGGGAATTGTTAAATTTCGCGGGTTCGGAGGGTCCGGTTGTCATAAAATTTTCATTATTATGTATACCAATGCCCCCGAAGTACAATAAAAACTGTAGCTGTTCATTGTTTACTTTGTCTGTGGCAGCCGCTAAGGTTAGACGTGTTTTATGAGCTCGGCGATTTTTTGTTCGTTAAAATAAATGGATCAAAGAATTTGTATCCAATTTTGCTTAAAAAATGAAATAAATTCTGTGAAATGTTAACAAAGGCCTATAGTGAGTCTGCTGTAAGTAAAACAAGAGTTTACAAGTGGTATAAGAGTTTCCAACATGGCCGTGAAGACGTTAAAGATGACGAACGCCCCGAACGCACAAGCACAAAAAACATGGAAAAAGTGGAATAAATGGTTATAAACCATCAGAGAAGTCGCTGATGATGTTGGTATATGGGGCAAAATTTGCCAAGTGTACCAGGTGAAAAAATTTTTGTCACCGATTTTGTTTAAACTTTACTTATTTGTTGTTCTTATAACGAAGAATCATAGCATAAAATTTTTTTGCTCTAGGATTGTTCATTCAAGAGTTATGGATTATTGAAATTTATCGATTTTTTACTTTTTGGTGAAATCGCTTTTTATTTAAAAATTCATAACTTCTGTTCATCTCTTTATTAAATATTTCAATTTAACCACCTTAAATGATTTTTTCCGTACTTTTCAATGAGCTATACCGTTTTTTAAAAAAATAAAAATTGCAATTTTTTTTTGAAATTTTGCAAAATTTTGCATTTTTTTAAACAATGTGTATTTTTTTATTTTTTTTAAAATAGCATAAAATCCAAGTTTATTATGTTACCTTTGATTAAAAAAAAAATTTAGAGTGGGCCCGACATGTAGAAGGGAAGTTTTTCATATTTGAATGCCGCACGGTCTAGCCATCGAATAGCTACTACACTGCCGTATGCGTTTATACCCAGTAGATGCGAGTAAACGAATACAAAATGATAATTTAAAATGTAAAATTATGTTTGAGTAGTCAATGATGTATTTTAAATATTTATACTGCCGCACGATATAGTTTTTTTTATTGTGTATTAGTCCTTCGAAGGGGACTTTAAGCCCGCGGTCCGTTCCTACCCCTAACCCGCACAAGCCATTAAGTTGGCTTATGGGACTTCTTAAGAAGTAAGGGTGGAACTAAAAGAGCACTTTTGTATATAAACTGTATTTTTTTGCACAAATTGTTTAAGCATGGGTCTACATAGATTTCGCAAGGAGGGTCGATGATATTAAATAAAAAATGTATTTTTATAACCGTAAAGGCGCCATTCAGCTTATAGGCAAGCTGTTACGGTTATAACAATACATTTTTTATTTAATATCATCGATCCTCCTTGCGAAATCTATGTAGACCCATGCTTAAACAATTTGTGCAAAAAAATACAGTTAAAAAACTATATCGTGCGGCAGTGTAAATATTTAAAATACATCATTGACTACTCAAACATAATTTTACATTTTAAATTATCATTTTGTATTCGTTTACTCGCATCTACTGGGTATAAACGCATACGGCAGTGTAGTAGCTATTCGATGGCTAGACCGTGCGGCATTCAAATATGAAAAACTTCCCTTCTACATGTCGGGCCCACTCTAATTTTTTTTTTTAATCAAAGGTAACATAATAAACTTGGATTTTATGCTATTTTAAAAAAAATAAAAAAATACACATTGTTTAAAAAAATGCAAAATTTTGCAAAATTTCAAAAAAAATTGCAATTTTTATTTTTTTTAAAAACGGTATAGCTCATTGAAAAGTACGGAAAAAATCATTTAAGGTGGTTAAATTGAAATATTTAATAAAGAGATGAACAGAAGTTATGAATTTTTAAATAAAAAGCGATTTCACCAAAAAGTAAAAAATCGATAAATTTCAATAATCCATAACTCTTGAATGAACAATCCTAGAGCAAAAAAATTTTATGCTATGATTCTTCGTTATAAGAACAACAAATAAGTAAAGTTTAAACAAAATCGGTGACAAAAATTTTTTCACCTGGTACACTTGGTAAATTTTGCCCCATATATGAAATGAAATTTTTTCGAATGTTTTGGGTATGAAACGCTTGGCAGCAAAATTTGTTCTAAAATTGTTAAATTTTTATCAAATTTTTTGGCCAAAAACAATACTGTAATGATGCCCCAGCCTCCATATTCGCCAGACATGCCTCTGTCTGACTTTTTCCTATTTCCAAAAATAAAGAGAACCTTAAAAAGCCGTCGTTTTGCAAGCATAGGTGACATTAAAAGCGCATCGCTGAAAGAAGTAAAGGCTATGATAGCCTGGCTATCCCAAAGATCGAGTTTTAGAAGTGTTTCAAGTATTGGAAGAAGAGCTGGCACATGTGCATAATATCCAATGGGGACTATTTTGAAGGCGACAACATTAATGTAGACGAATAAATAAATATTTATTTCAAAAAACGAAAATTCCCGATATTTTCTGAACAAACCTCGTATATTATGACAACAAAAATGAATAGGTTCATATTGCACCAGTAAAAATAATAAATACAATAAATCTATATATAATTTAATTCCATGAATTTACAAATTTTATGTTTATTCAGTCTTGCTAAAGTGTGAAAAAAATACCGATATATCGGTATGGGAACCCTATTGACAATCCACACCGGAAATAAAAAAATGCGTTATCTTTTTTATCTTCCGCAAATAAAAGATAATTTTTGCATTATTAAATGGCTGGATATAATAAAATTTAATTATAGATAATGTATTTTTACAAATACAATGTTCGTACCTATGTATGGAGTTTACAAATACCTAAATGTATTTATAGCATTTGCTTTGTTTCAACAATTAATTTTATTGATTATATTTATATTTATTGATTTGTTTTTAGAGTTTATTTAAATTTATTTTCAAACGACCATTAATCAATAAAGAATGTGAGATTTATTTATAAATATGCTATGTTAATTTTTTTACAAAATCGACAGGTTTTTATAAATCAAATGATATACCTAGGTACTCCTATTAAAATTACTAGAAAACGACTACCTACTACTACAACTAAAAGAATGACGGACAAAAACATCAAGTTTGACAGCGTAGAAGACACATTTACAACATTTTTGTATTTTTTTAGTTAGTTTTGTAATTAGGTACCGACTGCTTCCCAGTTAAAGAATACTTGCCAAACAGCACACGTATGTTTGAATGGGAATCGAATCTAAACACAAAAGCGCTCCTCAAATATTAAAGCTGTCCCCAAATTGCTGTATTTTTTAGTAACAATTCTTAAAACAGTTTATCTTGTTTTTTAGCAATAAACAAACAAAGTACCACTTAATGTTTATTTATTTATGTATGTGCAAAAGATTAAAGATACCGATATAAAGAAAATTAAAAAGGCAATACAAATAACGATAGTTTATTGTGTCGTTCGCTTTATTTATTTTATTCGGTTTCCGCTAAATACTTTTATTTTAAAATACATTTCGTCGATACAGGTGTCAGACAAAATATTCGAAATGAAATGGGGGTTTCCGATATACACCAAATTTTATCGTATTTTTTTAAACTTTTGAATTTAAAATATTTTAAAATTCGTTATATTTATAAAAAAAAAATAAAATTTTGAAACTAGAACTATTTTCATAACTTGAATTTTATATTATAAGGTTTTGTAGATATTAAATATAAAATATATCTTCGGGGGCTTCTCTTTCGGGGGCTGTAGCTTCCTTAGGAAGCATTTCTTGACCTATGTTTATAGAAAGTTTTGTATTATTTTTGTACGTAGAATCTGCATGCTGTTAAATTATTGCACATTAATTATGGGTCACCCTGTATAATAATATGACTTAAAACAAAATAATCAAGATAATAGTATATTATTATACCAGAGATAATGCAGGCTATTATTAACGAATGAATAATGCGCAATATGTCGAGTGTAATACTATGCTTTTTCCACTCTAATTAAGTAATTTTCATTAGTAATAAAATCTATTATAACCTCACTTTCTCCCAATTTTAAAGATCATTCTGGTTGCCCCTCGTATATATTAAAAATCTGATATGTTAACCTTACTTTTTCTTAATTTAAAACCCGATTGGTTCAAATAACATTGAATATTGAAATCAGCCAATCACTGATGCCTAACAACTTGAATAATGAGTTCATTATTCCCGTTGTTATGCGGGGCGGTTATATTGGTTATCGTTATTTAAAAAAAAAACAAATAATTTCAATAATATGCGAGAAGAGTAAAAAAATGGTTTGATTATTTTATTTAATATTTCTAGGACACCAAGTATATGTAAAAACAATATTATTTTATCTATGAACATAAAAAGTTGTACCGAATCCCAAGAAAATACCATTTTATGGTATTATTTAAAGTTTAAATAATACCATAAAACTAAATTAAATTAAATTTTTGAAAAACATGTATAACTACAAAAAATATAAAATTTGAAAATCTTTATTTATTGCCATAATTTGTCAGAAAAATTTATCGACCAACAGTGTGTTGTGCCAACAAATCCGAGCTAGACCTTGTGCATACGGTCATAATTTAAAATAACATGACCAATCTCATAGTAAAGACTTTATGTGTGGTCCGAATACAAATAGTTATTGCACAGTCGATTATAATCAAGTCAAATAACGGACCAATAATGGGGTATTGTCCCACGCATCGGAAAATCGAAAATAAACGCGTTCTCGTTTAATTATTCACCGATACTAATTTTAAATTGCCAATGTCAACTGTATTACCCAGTTAAATAGCTAATGCGAAACTTTTACGACTTGGAAAATTATGTTCATATTTTATGTCACTTTCAATTTCTATTTTACGATTTAAACATTTGAAACGTGATTACTTACTTTTATGCTAACTTTTACATTCAAAATTAGTTTTTTAATTGCACCTAATGGGTTTTCGCTGTGATAAGTTTTTAACAAAGGTGGGAAATAATCATTTTACTGCTCTTCTGAATAGATCGAAGAAGTAGGTTTAACAATTTTTTGGTAAAATGTTTATTAAAAAAGTAAAAAAACCTGACCACCTTAGCATTTCCGAAGCATGTAAAATAAAAATTCCCGAAAAACCAAATCAAAGTTGCGCATGTAATAAGTCACCCCTTGGGGGGGGTTGATAGTTCACGCCACTGGATTCGTTTAGGTAAACCATGACCTATAGGTTGGGGTCGACGGAGTAAGTAGATTTTAACTTGCCGACTACACAGTAAAAAAATATTTGTTAATTTTAACCAAATAATAACCAGATTTTATGTAAACGTTATTATTATTATTATTATTATTATTATTTAATAACAATATTCCATGTCAATTTCAACCATAATTCTTGTATTTTTTACAAACTTTTGTGTGGACCCAGTATCAAAAGTATTTATTGTAAATTGGGAACTTTAAAAAAGAGAAGAAATGTTGCTTTATTAAACAATTTTCTAAATAAAACAAAATTAACACATACCTACATAAATGAACACAAAAATAACATACACAAAATTAAATAACACACCATTCTGAAATCATCAAATTATAATGAAATTTGGTACAATATAACTATCAGTAAGTACTACGAAAACACTTACTGATGTACTTTATCGCCTAATTTTAATTTGAAAACCAAAAATGACAATATAAACACTCAGGAGTGTCACCGTTAAATATTATAAACACCCGTTGACGCTGACACAACTTGTTGATAAGTGTGTTGTGCTTGAAAATGTTTTGATTGGCTTCCTGAAATCACGTGTACTTTTTCAACGGAATAATTTGTTAAACATTAACAAAATAATCTGTAACCTTTGAAATTAACAAAATTGCATATTACCTTTACAAAACTTTCGGTAATATATTGTCCTTTGTTAAAATAATTACAAACCCTGGTTTTCTACAAAACATTATGTTAAATAAAATTATCAAACTACAAACTCGTTTTAAAAAAATCTGACTTTAATAACAGTGTAGATCAAGTTCAAATTCAAAAGTGCATTTTGCTCTATTTAATTCTGTCAGTAACGGTCTGTCAAAGAAGGCATTGCCTCCCCATAGAGAATTAAAGACAAGTTAAATATTTTACTTTTTAATAAAAAAATCAATATTTGGATTACATACCATATAAAATATTCATTTAAAATAGGTCTTAACCTCGTCCCTTCCTCAATAAAACCGCCGCCACTGAATTCTGTTTACCTTGCTCGAGCTATTTTTGGTTACACGCTTTTTAAAATGCCGCGCCACAATGTAAGTAAACACTTTAATTTGTAAAAATTGTCGAATGCATTTGAATAATTATCATTTTACCTTTTTGAAAACAACAATTTCGTAATGAAAATCTAGATAAATTTAAAATAAAAGTTAAATAACAAACAAGACACTAGATATTCGTGGTAAGGCCTAAAATCCTTAGTATTCCGAGCAAGTTTTCGTGTCATTATTAATTCAGATCGATTTCTGCGTCTGGCCCGTGCGAAATAGGGGGCGAAAGCAGAATTCTCCGGTACATAATACAGACATTTTTGGCGGGAATAATTCCACCGGCTCGCCGTCGTTCTCCTATCTGGTCCACTCAGGACAAAACAGACCCGACTGTTAAATCGAGCGTGAAATATAAATTTCTTCCTGTCGTTCACAATTTATAATGGCTAACAAGAAAAATATGCCAGTTGGAAAGAAGTCAATATTTCTGCTGTTAAGATTCTCGGTGTTAATATATGTAGGTACTCGTACGCTATGCCGGCACAATTAATCGTTTCTTAGCACTTCTTACTAGTTTTAATTTTTTTTACTCAAAGAATTGTTAAAGCAAAATGTTAATGTTTAATATTATATTATGTATCAAGTTTGATAAATGCCATTTTTGTGCCTAAAAAAGTTGTATACTATACTTTTTCTATAAAAAATATTTAATAATTATTATCTAAAAAATTATTTAATACATTGACGAACTGTGACTTTATGGCATTTTATAGATTTTTATAGATTAATTTATTTTTGTATAGATGTCGTTCTATGCAAATATTTAAATTGATTAGTAATAAATTACTTAAAAAAATAATATTTGTCGTGATAAAATAAAGATATTGTTGAATATAAATATAATTAAAAAACATTGTGTATAGCTAAAAAATCGTTAAACAAAGTCTGTTATTTAACATGCAATAAAACGCACAATTTAAATAAATACGAGTTTTTCTAAAACGGTTGCATTTTTAAAGGTTAATGTAATCAAAAGAACAATACAAAATACATGCTCTTACAAAACACGTTATCTTTAATCTACTACCAGGCAATAACATTTATACGCTAGAAAAATTGAATAAACCCATTTTTTTCTATTAATATGTTCGTATCTACGATCAGTTTTGTTGGGGTAAAATAATTGCTTGCGTTGATAAGCGATTATTGTGGAAAATAATTTATGTCCCAAAAGGAAGCCGCTTGTATTTTTAGGGCTTTGTGTTTTAAACCGTGTAGTATACCCTAAAGTTTTTCCAAGAAAGAACATACCCCCCAGATTTAAAATTCTTGGAAAATAGTTAATAGTTTTGTTTTGTTTTTTCAGGAATAAAGTTCGACAGAAATAAGTAAGTAATATTTTCCAAAATTATATGTTATTATAAACTTTATTAATTTTTAGTTTAATATTACTTCTAAATTTACATTATTAATTTATAATTACTTAGTTAACTTTAATTGAGTTGTTTACTAACTTTATGATGTAACTTTAACAGTAAGGATCAATTAAAATTAACAATTTTAGTAATAATTCTTAGTGATTTGTTTTAATGTGTTTTAAGACAATTATAAACTCTATACAGGGGGCAGGGGGTATCTAATATCCACAAAAAATGTGTGACGTACCTACTTATTGGACCACCCAAATATAAAATAGATAATATTTAAATTTATGACCACTCTTTACTAATATGTAGTGTAACGAAATCTGAAGGCAAAAAATATTTTAAAAAACTAAAAACCAATCGTTATAACTTCGTTATTCCTGGAAATTTTGAAATAAGTAAGTTTTTTTTTTAATGGCCGCCATAACCTATGCTGTTTGATACATCGTTTTTCTATCTAACCATGTAAAATTCCAATATGGCGGCCATAGGAAAAACAGAGATTGTGGTGGTACCTAACTCAAAATTTAGTAGGCGAAAAAAAATCAATAGTTGGATGAAAATCTACATTTAAATGTAAATGTAGATAAATGTCAATTGACATCATTGATCAATGTTTCCATGTGAAACCTACTTTTTTCAAAATTCCCAGCATTAACGATTTTTTATTTTAACATGTTTTCAGTTTTTTTTCAAACTACTTAAAAACCGCAGATTTCTTTTCAAATTTTAAATGCCATTTTAATAGACTTGTGATAACGCAACCGACCTTGTATACAACTATAGTTCTTCAAATAAAAAAGATACCCATACATAAAAGGATATTGTAGGTATACATAAAATATAACATTATGAAATTTTTTTACAGATTTGATGTTTGCAAAATAAATTTTAAGTAAAGTAATTATGTTATTTTTAATTAAAATAGTATATTTTTTACCTATCATAGCAAATACTCCCTATGATTAGAGTGAAGGAATTCATTAAGTAATTGCGATTCCACGCTAGGCAAACAAAATTTCCTCCCTCTACTTTTTTTTTTAAATTTTACATTAGCAATACTTTGTCCAGCCCTATTTAAATCAATTGATTTTGAAGAAAAAAGATAAATCGGAGTAATCATCAAGATCTTGCGGCAGGTCTTCTTCGCTAGAACTCATTTTCAAAACGTATTTAGGAAGAATTTCAAATTTATGAAAAACAACCTGACAGCTTAAAACAACTGAAATGTTTGTATTACCAAAAATACGACGTCATGGTACACATTCCTTACCTGATTAGCGAGAGGAAATGAAAATATATACAGGGGAAGGAATAAGATTGTTCACAGCGGGAGAAATGAATGTCATTAATTTAAAAATTGCGATAACAATCGGCGAATTATTAAGCACTCGACAAAATAATAAATTTAATCCACTTTTATTTCATTATTATTATTATCTTTTATATTATTGGTGTTAAAATTTTGCACATCCTGTCCATTATGGAAATTTCTTGATAAATCGTAGTAAACTGCTTTTAAACAATGAAATATGGTAATGTGATTACGTTGACTGTCTTGTGTTTGTCACGTCAATTCCACAAGGAACATACATTATTTTATTATTTTAGGTAATTTGTAGTCCATTTTAATCGATTAATCCATTGGTGAATAACTTTTGTGGTTTCTGGGCTTTTAAAGTTTACACTAGTAAAAAAGTTTTGGAGTGACCAAAACAAATGTAGTCACTTTTTTTAAGGGTGTAACGATTTTTTCCTTATTTACACCCATACTCAAGAGGGTACATCTTTGAAACAATATGTTTTAAATAATGTTATAATATATATTATATATATTATATATATTATATAAGATATTATCTTTGTGGAATTGACTTCAAGTATACTTATTGTGAATGAAATATTGAAATTATTTTTAAATTAGACTTATAAAAAGAACGTTAATTATTTGTTAGCGAATATTTTATGAAAAGCACCGCATAGTTGAAACATTGTGCGACCGAAAAAAACTAAAACCGTTTTTAAATAATTCGAGAGCGGAACAATGAACGGTACATTGAACTCGCTGCAAATCGGTTCACATGTGAATGAATATATAAAATTTAATTTGGGTTTTTTGTTTTTGACCATGTTTAACATTATTACTAAATGGCATTTTCCACCACGACTTTTAGCCCCTCAACTAAAAAAGATACATATACATAGAAGGATACTTGGTTCACCCTGTATATGTGTATGGAAAGTATTTCATTTCCGATAGGCAATTTTCTACAACAATATAAAGAAAAAGAAGGAAAGACGTGAATGAAAGCGATCAGATCTATTTGTGTCATTGACGTCCAGACAGGATACAAGTCAAGTGGGTGGCCTCACTATATTCGTAATGTTCATATAAATACGTGCACGGGCTAGTTCACAGCCTCATTCATAAAATACTCGCACTTAAAAAACGTACTCCGACTTCCGCATGCTTATGGTTTTAACAGATGAATGGAAAAATCGAGGTTTAGAGATATCGTTAACAAATTATTCACACGGCAAAAAGTACGCCTTTGGCAAAAGTCATCAACATTTAAGCAAGCCATCAAAGAACTTGTGTGGTTTCTGGGCGATAAAGCCAACTTAACACCATCCTATGGTTTACAAATAAATGGTTCAAAGTCAAATAAGCAGCTGATGATAATTTTATATTTTAAAACTATTGCGTCTGAACGAAGAAAGGTTAATATTGACTTAATATTATTGAGTAAGATTTGTTTATGTTACACATTCCTTAGTTAATAACTCTCTAAAAATGAATTAGTCAAAAATGACTAATTTAATAGTTATATTGGCTGCTTTGACCACACTGAGGGAAAAATCTAATACCTGTTATGAAAAATATAATACCCCTTATAAGATTTCTCTATTAGTATTAGGACAGCCAACTGGTTTATAGACAGTATAAACTGGGTTTTGTTAATCATCTTGTAACAGTTATTAGACATACTATTATCTCTTATAAAATCGATATGCTACCACCATAATATATGATATCTGCAAGAAATCATTTTATAAACAATATGCATCTAGATTATAGCCAGTATTAAACAACTGGAATAAAATCAAAATTATAACAGTTACTACACAGCTTATTGTCTTTAGAAACGAATATGATTCTAACTAAGCATCCTCTTATTGCCTTTATAAAACTCGGCTTAACAATACTGGTTTATAGAACCATTTCTTTCAGTGCATGGTTAACCATGGAATACCATGTTATCCCAAAATTTAACAGCTAATTCTTATGTAAAATTCTCCCCTGAATCCGAAAATTATGAAAGTGGAGCAGTTTTTGCGATATACCTAGTCAATTCCATATTAAATGGAAAATTGACTATACCTCAAAAACTGTTCTACTTTTTTTTAACTTTTTACGACACTTTGGGATACCATGGTATTCCATGGTTAACCATGGTACAACTGAAAAAGCAGCCAGTAATAAATATTAAATTAGTCATTTTTGACTAATTAATTTTTAGAGAGTAGGTAGTTTGGTAGATCTTCTATGAAGAAAACTGCGAAACCAGAAGTATTTAAATGCTTATTTAACGTAATTTTTACGAAAAAAAATTAAGTATAGGTTATTTTATTTTAAGGGATTTTCAACGGCAAATTTAACGTAAATATTCAGTCTAATCTAAATTTTACTCATAAGTCATATTTTAACTTTATTAAACCAATTTATAAGCGTAAATATATATAAAAAATCGTAAATTTATAATATTTGTCTGGAAAGTTTCCAGTGGACACTTTTTAAGGTTTAAAGTGTTAAAACACACTTTTAATAATAAAAGTAAAAATAACTTTAAGTGAAAAGTAACCAAAAGGGTAATATTTCTGAAAGACGCCATATAATATTTTTAAAACGCCCATGTACATGTTTCTATGACACTAAATACCTTTTAAATACACATTGACAAGTTGTGGCTTTATGGCCTTTTAGTCAAGCTGAAGTTAGCAACAGGTTTTTAGTCACGTGCTGAAGTTTTAAGTTAGTTGACAGTTCTCAAATGTCATGCAATCGTTAAAATAATAATAAAATGTAAAACTTATTTTATTATCTCAATACAAAAATACAAAATTCCGAAATAGTTTCTTAACGCCAATATTTGAAAAGTTTAAATGAACATTGTACTGACCTTTTAAGTTTGCCGGCAGTAAACTAAATTTAACTTAATTTAGGGTGGAGACTCCACCGGGTAGTGCAAATAAAACATTTTCTTTACTTTCACTGTGAAAAACTGCTTCTATATCGGATTAAACGGTCCATTTTCAAGGGATAAATTTCGATTTACACATAAAAATTTGACATTTGAGATTCTCAAGTTGGTAACTCTATTGTTTTATAGATGTCGCTCTATACAAATATTTAATTTAAATCAATTTTATGTAATAATAAATAAGGGGCCGTTCATTAATTACCTGAGACAATTTTTGTATTTTTTTGTATACCTAAGTACTGTTACATCATTAATGAAAATTTTAAATGTTAGTATAATTTCTGTTACGAAATAGACAAAATATTAAATAACATATTCTCAAAATTACTACTAACTCTACATAATCAAGATAAACTTTGTCTTATAATGCAAGTCATGAATTTAATCATTATTAGCTTTAATAGACTGTAAAATAATTAAAAACTTTCCTAAACAATCTCTCCATCGGAAACTATTATGTTAAATAATGGCATTGTTTAATTTGATGCATAAAAAACATAACCAGCATTGTTTCAAATCGCTAATACATATTCATTGTTAGACGCTAGTCGGGCTTACAAAACCGTTTGTCAATAATCAAAATAATAACTACGCCACGACATACTTAGAGCATATAACACAGGGATGGCGCTTACAATGTCAGTCAATGTCACCTGTAAATTTTATGTTTAATATATCATGCCTTAAGGCCTACAAAATTAA